TTTATACACCATGAGGATACAGAAGCTGTGAAGAGCGAGATAATAACTTAACAAGTTACTGCCTCTCCACTAGTTATCAACTTGATAACGTGAATCACGAACACACTTGTTCTTACCACGCTTGCAATAATCTTGTGATTGCTAGATTCGCTCTCAAAAGTATTCGGTTGCAATTTTGATATAAAAATTAACGTGAGAAGGGAAAAAAGAACGAAATACAAGAAATAGAAATGAAATTGGATAAAGTATGTGTTCAAAACAGATGGGAAAAATAAAAACTCTTTTGCCGCAGCGCAGAGTGTAAAACTTCGAGAGACTTACAGAGTCAACAATCGAAACGATGACTTCTCGGATCCTTCTCAGTTTCGGATCTCCACTAAAGTCAAATGCAAGACCATTACAAGCGTTTACAGAAGCTCCTGATAGAGTACGAGTAGGCAAATCTTTATGGACTATAATTCCTTTACTGCTCTGCAATAACACATTATGGGGAAAGATGCATTTAAGTTATCCTGCAAATAAAAATCTGGTAAGTTTCCAATGAACACAAAGATTACCTCTGGCTGTGTGCTCGAACACAATTCACCTCCGCCAAAGCCATGTCCAAGCAGGGTTGCTTTCTTTGCCGGTGATTTCTTGCTTTCTTCCACCCGTCTGCGAGGAAATTTGTGCTTACCAATAAAATAAGGACTGCTCGCTTCCATAGCAAATCTAGAGGGAGGATAGCAATCATCGGCTTTGCCCTTCTTGCCCGCCTTGAAGGGTGGCGCCATAGCCTGGATTATCCAACGTTATCATCAAGATAGATGCATTGTGGCATAGAAATTTGCAGTGGAAAGTCCAGATGATGCGGTTTTACGAAGAATTAGATAAAGGCAGTTCAGTGGGCATAGATATTTCACAATTAAGAGTCGTTCTTTTTTTTTTTTAAACGTGTTCAAAACCAAGTTCATTTCCAAAATTATTGAAATTTGTTTCATGTTGTTTGTTAAATAAATGCATACACAGTCTGCTTATACAATCAGACAGCTCAAAAACTAGATCAGCCTATGTTACTGCAGAAGCCTGTAGAAAAACCAGACTCCACAACAACAAATTACAGCTCACAGCTCCTTTCTTGCATAACACCACAGTCTCTACTTCGTGACTAATTTTGTGTGGTCGTCAGAATTTCTCAAAATCTAAACAATAGTGCTCCACTTTTCATCACTACCTTCCGTTACATAGATCCATTTTCCAAAAGTTTTCTTGGAAAGTAATACTATTTTG